ATATACTAAACTAGCTTTTGCACGCAACTCCGCCTGCCTGTGTGTTGATTATCGCGCTAAAAAGTAGCCCATCTTCCCCGCTGATAATGTAGCTTTCTACTGAGTAACGGTAGTGCAGTGGTAGCGTATGCGACTTCTATGCTGCGGTCTCGGTCGATGCCCGGACCAAATGTCTGTATGATCTGTAATATTTGTTTTGGAGTTTGTATGAAAAATATTGTTATAAATGGTGACAGAATTTTTAAAATCGGGTAAGTGGTTTAGAGATGACCACTTACCTGATAACAAACCAAATAAACAAACTTTGTGGACTATAGTCAATCTTCACTTTAAGGCAATCTAAAATAATATGACAATTTGAGCCAGTCTGATATCGTTGTGCCTACAGCCGATATTATTATGCTCCAGCGCGTACAGCTCACTGCTTTAGAGCTGTAAATCTGTGTGTTCTCGTAGATTAATATTTATGTGGCGGCTTGAATATTAATAGTAGTTATCGTTTGGACCAAACGATAACTAACTAACGATAACTGTTGGTACTAATTGTTTGTAATGCATTATGTAAAATGTATATATTTTAACAAATATACAGTAAAGCCATTGTATGTATGTTCCACTATAAGTTCGAGAAATACTATATATTACACTATACTACTGCTGGATATAGGCCTATCCAAACTCTGGCCATAGCCCTCGGTCTTCTGCCTTCTGCGTCCAATTTATCCTTGCTGCCTACCTGAATCAGTCCACCGGTTACTACATTTTGGTTACACATTGGTTGTCTCCTGATTGTATTGTGCTATTGGTATAATGGTATAAAATAAACATGAAGTATTCAGTTTCCCAAAACTAATAATGTAACATAATAACATCGATACGTGCCAAGATCTTTTTGGCCTTCCGGCGTGAGGCGTCCTCTCGGGGCGGCTATTGTCATTCCTCACACGCGTATCGTGGGCCCAGTGTGCCACGGCCTAATTCTATTGTGCTCCTAACACATTTATTTGCATTAGCTTTATAGCATTTTGATCGCTTCGGGATGAAAACAAATGTTTTATGTTTTATTAACCCGGTGCTCACGTACCTTTATTGTCGTCATAGATGTGGTGGGTTAGCTTTAGTGACCTTTTGAGCGGTTAATAACGACAGCGTGAGGTAGCGAATATGCAATTTTTAATTATAATTGTCTTATTGCTTTAATTGTAACAGATAGTGAATAATAAGTGGCCATCACCATATTTGAGAGGCTTGTTGGTCTAAAGATAGGAAACCTGACTGCAAACCTATTGGTCGTAAGTTCGATTCTCACCCAGCATAAATAATTGTGGGGTGGGCGTCATGCTCATTGTTCTGTGTCTGGGTGTAAATTATCTATCCCATGTATTCAAAAATAAATCACTATGTATATCAGCAGTGTGATTGAAAAATCCACCAGGAAGTCGTGACTCTAACGGCTCATCAAACTTTAGTGCCCAAGATGGTAAGAACATAGCGTCTCGTACCTGAGCAATAACAAGTGTTATTCTGTCACGTAGATACCCTTAATCCCTTACTGTTCTAAGGCTCTACTTCGCTCTATTTAGCGAACTGTTAGCGACAACTAGAGCAGTATTACTGCTCTAAGAAGTAAGCACATAATCCTTTTAAATTCTGTGAGTGAGTGAACTGTAATCGGCTAGTGAAAGGCTTCGCTACACGAGCCGGGATCATTTTAAATAAGTGTTTGTGTATGTATTGTTATTGTGTAACATATTCACGATTTCCTGTAAAGCCTCCGTTGCTTAGTAACGTCAGTATAAATCGATCAGGAACTATTCTGGTATATACCTGTAAAGGATATATTTCGTAGTATTTTTCTTATATTATATGGCAGTTTAGACTCGAACAAACCAATCGGTCCAATGTAGGTTAGATGATAGTTTTAATTGGCTAGAAGATTAGTATTAGTAGAAAGTTCGGCATAGTAGTATCCTAATATTTATAAAACGAAATTCGGATTAACTGACAGAACTCTGTGTGATTGAAAAATTATTTGACCAAAAAAAAAACACGTTACGAAATATCCACAAATTTTAATAACATAAATCTTTCCAATTCTCATTAATGCGGAACCTCGTCCTCTGGTCATCCCCGTTAAACTATCGAGCTACGATCGAACTACGCTGTAGCCATACGCTACGAACTCGTAGACAAAGAACCAAATAAAACTACATCTAAGTCGGTATCCACGGTAATCTCACGTTCAAACAAGTCTTTGCTCTGCTCCACGAACTCATTAACTACAATCAATCGTTTTTACGAACGTGTACTTAAAGAGCTAACTAAGTTTAAGTTTCTTCGTGTTTTTTAACAAGTTGGAAATTAGAAGGGCGGCGAATGGCGACAAGGGGTTGATCTCGAGCCTCTTGCTGACAAATAAAAGTACAAATTTGAATACCTTGGTGAAGTTTAGAAAATATTTGCAAGGGACAGTCGCAACCCTCGGCAAGGCGCACAAACTTAGGCTAATTAATATTTAGGCTGTACGACAACTGGACTTATATATTTAATGAACAAGCGAAACACTCTTCACAACTTCTGTTATAAGCTTTTCGTGACGGGAAATGTTGGAAACTCAAATAAATATTTGAACCTGAGGGTCGGAAGTCAATTTTTATACACAAAGTTGTGGTTATATTCATACATTTTCTAAGACAAATAATTTGATATAAACTTAACGCGTGTGTGCAAAATATGTCGTTTAAGAAAGTTGACTTAGTTAGGGAATTTCTGAAACCGCCACTTCATCTAACATAGCTTTGTTTTCAAAATACAAATAACATATTACAAATAGTTTTACTCGTATAGATCTAAACTAAGCATAAGTTAAAAGCTATTTATGTAGTTTCTTAGTTCCTACTCTAAAAATACGAGTACTAAGGAACACTTATATTACATTATTATTATTAGAAATATATAGACCAACTTTTAATCAATTAACTTGAACTTAAGCGACGGCAGCCTAGTGGTTAAGGCCACAAGACTTGCGATCAATAGGTCGTGGGTTCGAATCCTGACCAGTACACTACCGACGTGAACCCACTCCTAATACAAGCAATTTGGCTTAGCTGGAGGGGTTAACGGGAATACTAGTAATTTCAGTTGCTAGAAAGCCTTGAAAAAATAACTTTCATTTTAGTTTTTGCGTAGTGCGACACATAAGTTATGTAAAGTAGTTGAATCAATCAAACTTACTGCTTTAAAAGTACATAACGTCATTCTTTACTCAAAACCAATAATTAATCGCGTGTTATCATAATATTGATTATAAAATAGTTGAGTGAAATAGTGACGTAGTCCATGGGAGCAATCTGTTTTGATCGGCGACCCGTTGTTTACCGGTTTGTTCAACAAAAAGTTTGCCGATGAGTTATTGCCACAACTGCGGCAAAAACTGCGCCCGCTCTGTTAACGATTTACGTTTAGTTCTAATTAATAGGGATCTTGGGTACTGTTTGTACACGAAACTTCGTAATCCAGTATTGTATTCATTTTACACAGATGCCGCAAAAAAGCAAGGTACTTTTGTTTTGTATTTCTTTTTTCCATAATTGCTAAATGCTGAACAGAGTAGAATACTTACACCACCCTATGATTATTTAACGGATGGCGTAGTGGTTTACGCCGAGTGCTTTGGGTTCAAATCCCACATGGGACGACACTTTGTGTGATCCATAAATTGTTTTTCTGAGTCTGGGTATTCTTTGTGTCCGTTTCATGTAGGTTTGTAAAGTCCCCCGCGACACAGGAATATATTCCTAATGGGCGTTGTCTTTTAACAAAAAAAAAACTGCTGTAACATTTTTTTTCTATATTATGTTTCTATATATCTAATAAGGTTATTTTATTTATTTATTTATTACAAACTATGGAGGATTTACAGCTATGATGATCACAATAAAAGCAGTCAAGAAAACAGATAGCCAATTACAAATCCTCACTTATATAAATCAGAGATAAGTTACAGTGCACAAGACAATACAGAATATGATCAAGAGGTATTATATAAGTCTGTAACTTATACAGATCACTTACAAATTACACAGAACGTAATAATATACGAGTACACACAAAACAGACAGGACCCATAACAATAACTACTCGGACCCCTCACCATCACCCCTGAAGAATTTAAGGCTTAAACACCTCCTCGCTCCCGTTACACTAACATTAAAAATATCAATTCCAAATTGTTCACACACATTATTGAGGATTCTAGTTGAACGAATAACAAAATATTTTTTTCTATAGTTCGTCAGTGCAAATGGTACACTCAGCGGTGGGTTATAGCGAGTTCTTGACGGAATAATAATATTAAACTTAGATAAAAGTTCGCAGCAGTCAATTTCGTTACTAAACATTTTTAATAATAGGGTACAATCAGCGATTTCACGACGCGTTGTAAGGGGTAGTAAATGGTACTTCTTGCAAAGGTCAAAGTAAACTTCTGAGTGATAAGGTACTTTCTGGTGAAAGCACAAATATTTTATGAACCATCTCTGGATATTCTCAATCCGGTCTACATATTTTTGGTAGCAAGGATTCCAAACTTCACATGCATACTCTAAATGGCTTCTAACAAAGGTACAATACAGAATTTTTTAAGTTTTTGCCTGTTTGAAGCCCCTAGACAGTCGCATTATGAATCCTAATGCTTTAGAAGCTCTGGCAACGATTGCATCTATGTGTTCTTCATAGATCAGCTTCGAGTCATGTGTGACACCCAGATCCCGGACGTTATACATATTATATAAGTTATAAAAATTAATTAGTGTCCGCATCTTTTTTCTGACTCTTATTCATGGGAAGATAATTTAACCGCGTTTGTGTGAAGTACTTCGAAGCGCCTGCAAGTTATGCAATACAAAAGCGAAATATGTTCACAAATCAAGAGACGTAAGCACTTAGCCTAAACAAAATGCACGCTCAGTAATCATTTATTGGGCAGGCTCCGTGCAGTGATGCTCCAGTTGGCGGGGCGTTCGATCCCGGGTTCGTTTCCTGGCGCCGGCCCCGCCCGCGCTGCGGAAGTTTTCACTGAACTCACTTTATTTGTTTGTTTATTCACGGTTCGACTTTTTTAAATCTGACTAGAGAGCTTACGGTTTTATTCTCAATCGGTTTTGTTTTTTTCTGTTTAGTTTTGATTTGTAAAGAAGTATTGCTTATTGATCTTTGTCAAAACCTCCTTTCTAAGGAGAGGCCTATGTCTAACAGTAGACAGTTAGAGGCAGTTAATGATGATTATTGCTTCAAATGATGAGCAACAAACCAAATTTTGAAGTTAAAAACTTGTTTTGATTTCTAAATTTATTATGGCAATATGCGTCTATTACTCAAAATATAAACATTTACTTAAATAATATAAACTCGTTGCAGACCAATTATTTATGTCTTTATTATAAATCATCAGTGGTGTATGCCCTCCGTCGTGAATCCTTAAGGCAGAATCTACCTCATCATCCTCATTATAGGTTCATATTTTTATATTGTACTATACTAACAATGTCCCTATTCTGCAAAAAAAAACAAAATGTTCCTTTATGCTGGTGTTTATCCAAGGGCGCATTAAGGGGAGGGTGGGTGATTTTTTCATACGCGAATTTTTCACCTTGACAATTTGTGTATAGTGAAATTTCATCCAATTAAAGTATCTGGTAGAATTAATACCTATAATTATTATTACAAAATGTATTTAATGTTTCTATGGCAATTTTTCCTATGTACGTGTGTTGCAGCGATCTATTAAACAAGACATTAATTTCTTCAATGTTTTTAAATCTCTACTGTTAATAATAACTATAATTCTGGAGTAGTTGTTTATGATGGTATGTGTATGTTGTTTCAGAGTGGAGCGTGCGTCTGTCAGGACGGCGTCGCTCGTCGCAGCAGTCGCCCGCCGCGTTGATCGCGCACTTCGACACCACCGTGTTGCAGGTAACTGCACATTCATTATCTGCTATAAGCGACTTGAGCGGCCTAGAAGTTAAGGTTTTATTAATTAGCGATTAATGAATTTTCTGAATGAAAATTACCCTATGTACTTTTCTGAACCTCTAGTAACGGTACATTAAATATTACATGATGATCAGTTCAGTAGGTAAGAAGTCAAAGAGGAACAAACAAGAAAACTCGCGTTGTAACAAATGCGACATTTCGACTCGTTTCGACTCGTAATCTATTTAAAAACACAATATCCATTGCGTGAAGGTTTCCAAAACTCAACTCAAATGAGTGTTACATGTGCTCGTTGCAGTATATACACATATAATTTGCATGTTTATGCTCTATATTATATAAAACACATGCAATACATTCTTTTTTTAAATGAAAGCCGATGAAGAGAGGTTTTAGTGAATTTATAAACTACTAATAATTAATAGATTTTTTTTTTTTTTTTTTTTTTTAATGGGACTAATCCCACCCACACGCCCACCACTGTAACTCCTGTACACCAGGATCCACAGCAGTGACCCACGAACACACCGAGTTATGACACTCGGGAAGTCCCAGGAAGAAATTAAACTGTCTTGGAACCCGCAACGAAATTAATCAGAAGAAAATTGGAGGAGTTGGAAATACAGTAAATCCACTTCCCTCCTTAGCAAAGCGGGAGACAAAAAGAAGTAAAATGGGCATACACCCTTTTAAACAGGGAAGCACCACGGCCACAAATATTACGGGTCCTACGTGAGCTATGTTTGATTTCTATAATATGTATGGCAGAATCGCCTAAACGCACGGAAATTCACCCTAGTTGACACAAGATCCCCATAGTATACCGCCCCAGATGTCACCTGCAAGCTATTCAGCATTATATTACGTTCATTATACCAAAGACTACATTCCCAGAGGATATGATGAGCAGACTGTTCATAGTGAGAGTTAGGTGTTGAGCATTGACACAATGGTGACTCGACTAATTTAAATGAATAAAGCTTGCTCTTAAAGTTACCATGACCCGTAAGAAATTGAGCGACACAGTGATCCACCTCAAGCCATATCCTCGACAACCCTTCGCGAACAGATGGAAAGAATTGGTAAAGATGGCGCCCCTTGGATGATTCATCCCAGCGTTGTTGCCATTCGTCTATTATAGACATCGGGCTGCTGTTGAAGCAATCTTGTAATTTTACCGCGATCCCGCGCTCCCAAAAAATCGCATTCCATGTTTTGTTGTCTTGAATAGTACATGGCTGCACTATTCAAGCAATTAATAGCAATTAATAGATTTATATAAACCTAGTATCAAACGAGGAGGACAATCTTAAATTGACTGAACTATTCGCGTTTAATTATGCTACATATAAACGAAACTTCCCAATAATGTTTATTGGGTAGGCTCGTTCAAATTTTCACTAGACATACCTCACAATGCGTCCATACGCTGTTTAGTAAAGCAGTCGGTTAGTAGATTAGATAGAGATAGATTTCTATTCTGTTACGTCTGCATTCCTGAATCTCTACTAAACAGACAAATTCGAGGTTTTCGTCTTTGTACGGTTTTAGTCGATTGAGATCAATATCACTTTACCTAAATATTACTTGTCAAATTGATATCCCTGCCTTTGTCCGAGCTGTGCCTATAGCAGTAAAGTTTCAAAAAAGAGACAGTAATAAACTCAATAATCTACTGTTACAAGTTGCTCCGACTTTAGGTACTGGTTGCATCACTCACTAAGATCGAACACGACCATCTACATTAAAATACACGCAATACATTGCTTCATTTATTAACACGTGATATGGAAGTTCCGCTATATTATCAGAAGTGTATTGAACATCACGTGGGTTAGGTTGCCTTACAGTAGAGTATGTAAATCAAAGTACAAGTTCATTTTTTTTATCTTTATCAAACAGTGAAACCTGTTCAAGTGTCCATTTTAAAATTGGGTAAATTGTATATTACAACTATTTTAAAATTTACAAAAAAAAATCGTTAAAAGATAGCAATACCCTAAAGGTACGACATTCCGACACTGATTAAACGCTGAAAATAGAATTCATTGCGGGGTGGGAATCAAATAAATACCAGGTGAATAGCTGAAATCGTCTAATTCTTAATTATTTTCCTCGATGAATACCTTTTTACCATTTATTTATAGATGCTCATAACTGTTTTATCCCACCGGTCTGTAAGTGGCCATTAGAGGTCAATAGTAAATGTGTTAGTATTTATAGTCTAATATTAATCGTGTGTGAGATAACTTCTATACACACATTATAAAAGAGATTTAGCTGAATAGAAAAAAGAAACGGTAATTTTAATATCATCATAATAATAAATAAGAAAATGGGGTGCCATTAGGTGACATACATACATAGTTGTAACAAAACAATATAATAATGTAATGTAATGTGCTAACATATATTTGTCTCTTGCTTTACATATATAATGTATACTTTAACATCTCTTCCTCCGAACCTTTTTTCCAAACTAGGTTTGGTTCGGCTTTCAAGTCTACTGAACTTCGATTTTTACTTTTTAACCCGGCAAAATTGATGGATAAAATCTCGGGTGAAGATACAAAATAGACCAATTAAAACTCAGTCATACGCGTCTGATCGCATTCTAAACAGACCGACTTTAATGACTCTATTAGCTCTGTCTTGGTGACATGACGCCAAACGTTAAGTCCCCCGTGGGCTCGTATCAAACGTTCGCGGTTTTGGTGACTTCATCTCTTCCGCGCAATTTGATGCTTGCCCTATACGGAGGGGGAGAAAAAGGGGGTGGCGCTTTTAAAACATCACGTTTTATTGCCAGTAATATCCGTGTTGGCAACTCATTTAGAGATCGTGGAAAAAATAATACTGTCAGTGGTAAAATTCAATTTACTAGGTAGGCCATTATTTGAAATACGTAACATGACTAAAGTTATTTTGATGTATAAAAATAGAAAAAATGATAAAAAAAGGACTTGTTATGATAGAAAGAAAACTTATTTATTCAGAGCCCACAAAAATACAAAATATTTAAGTAACTAATATGTATTTGCGGTAGTGAAACGAGCTTACACGTTTAACATTAGTTTATTACTGAATGCAGTACATAGCGACACAGCGCAGGCGCAGGCGGCGCGCGGCGATGTACTGTGATTTTAACAAATGAAAAATACATAGCACAAACTTATATAAATATTATTAATTAAATAATCTTTCGATGAAGATGTTATACACTACAGTTATTCGATTGATTATGAATTGTTATGCTCTCCCTTTTTTGAAAAATACAATTGTGTTATTTCTTTGTCAAGATAGTAAAACACGACAGAGTATATTAAGCGAAGAAAGTCTATTCTATAGTAGACAACAGAATCATAGCTATAAAATCAGGAACACTTGGATCGGTTTTATCTTATGTCTCAATAACTTTAAATTGGACAATCGGAAATAAAGATTCAACATAAAATCATGACTAAATACATTTTTTTTTACTTACCAAAAAAAATCCCACACATTGACATTAGCATATATATATATATACCTATATTTAACAAACGCACGCAAACAATTTCAAGTGAAGTACTTAAAATCGTGCATATAGAAAACCAAATCAGATAAATTTTTAGACGTTACCAATTTAACCGAACTCAATACCGTAGCCAAGCGATACCATCATAGCGTGCAATCAACCATTTACCACCACCCATGAAATCGTTTTCAATTCACTCTTTCTCTTTATCGCACAACGTAACACTGTTCAGGAATCCATTACGAAAGGAAAAGGTTAAAAAGTAAGTGAATATCTGGCCGATATCCTGTACTTCATCAGAGAAGTGGTTAATGGATATTAATTGTGTGGGCGGAAGGTCGCAGTCATGTACGCTACGCACGTATGACGGAGGAGAAAACTTTATGAGCTCTTTAAAAGATTCCATTACGGGGAGGAAAATGTGAGGTATATTTTTGGCGTCATTTATACCTAGGGAGGTAATGAATTGTTAAATTTATAACCCACTTTAAATAACCGTTCTTTTCATGAAATATATAGTCCTTTCCGATCATTTTGCTAGACTGATTTAATTTGCAGCGAGGATGGCCTTTATCGGTTTGCTCCAAAGTTAACGTTAAGAACTATTGCTAGAGGGAGATAGAACCAAACCTTTACCCAGATATAATCCTGTGATCTAAATAATGGTGAAATAGCGAAACCTTTTTATTAAAAACTCTTTACTATTTCTATTCACATTGGTTTAGGGACGTAGTGGGATAGACGCGATTAAAAAGCCGCATTAAAGACCAGAATTTGGTTTTTCCAATACTGGAAATAGACAGCATTTCGCAATGACGACGGAGTGTTAGTTTAACTCATGGTGAACCGTGAAAAGCCCAGTTTGAAAGTCTAACTTAGGATTGACATAAGAGGGCGACATTTTAATGACATCATTGAAATCGGGCGATCAACAAGACTTTTAAATTAAATAAAACTATTAATAAATAAATAAAATTGCTTATTGAAATCTAACATCAAGAAAAAATATCAAATGCTGTATAAATTGTAACTCAAACCAATATTGTTCAACTTAGGACTCGACCCTCGTATCAATGTTAAATAGAAAACCCTTGAAGTGAAATTGATGAAAACTGTGTATGTGCAAGTGTCGGTGCGCGCTGATAGTGGCAGGTGGGGGGGGGGGGGGGGGGGGGAATAGGATTCCACTATAGAGTGTCGTTTCATTGGGACGACTTACCATGTTATATTTTGTTCAAAGAAATTTTGAAAACACACGTGTGTCAATGTTGAACTGGCACGCTCGTTACTTGTCTAGTACTTACGATTACTCTTGTTTACATATTCATCCCTAACCCTGAGATAACTTTTGTTTGGGTCTTTATTTTATAGAATATTCTCAATTAGACTAACTATTGCTTTTTCGTGTCTTTATGCAGCGAGTTATCTTCATCATTCTTAAACTGATTTCAAAAAAAATAAATGAATTATTTGTAATTAAGAAATTATAGCAATTAAAATTTGAAGAAGATATATACCCTTGAGAGCGACAGATTAAGTGATGAAAAATACTGATTAAAACAATTTTTTTTTAAATTTTTTTTTATTACCATTAACTGTCTATACTATTAATTATCTATTCTGTGCTTTTGCTAAAATGTACCTTCGCTTTATACATGTTTATGTACTTTAATACAAAGCGGCAGCGTGTGGTGTTTTCGTCCGTATGTTTACCGAAAAGGTCAGGCCAGCGTTACTAAATCAGTATAGGGTGCGATCGTAACTGCTCGGCCGCAGATGACCTCAACCCTCCCATCAGCCGTTTTCAAGGAAGAATGGAAAAACATCACCCCCATCTACCCCAACTGATTCGAATACAATTCCTTCGTTAGAATAAAAATATTTTTTGAAGCCTTCGAATAAAATGTTATTGTTATTGTAGGTCTGTTGTAATGGCTGTTGTTAACCAAATATAAAGAAATGTTGAAACACATTTTTGTTGGATACCGTTCTTGAAGAAAAAATGCTAATGAAACTTCCAACGTATTAAGAGAAACAGGAATAATTTGTAAAAGCACTTTTGTAATTAAAGTGATTTAATTATAATCTCTAGAGGCATGACAACAAAGTGCTTTTAAGATCGTGTTCAATTTTCCTCTTCATTCCCTCGTGGCTATTTGGGTGCACCTCCATGTCTCCTGACCTGTCTTACCTAAACAATTAAATGCTCCAAAGAAGTTTTGATATATGAAATAAGTTCTTCAAAATATTCTCTAATTATTGTTTAAACCTTTTAAAATAGAACAGTCTCAGTTCCAGATGTCACAACACAAAAAGGTTTCTTACTTAGCCCTTTGTTGCCGTCGCTCTTTACTCCTTTTTGTAATAAATTGTGCTTATTTTGTGAAATATAGCCGGCTCAATATTGTAATATCACCAGCTGCTCTGAGAATTTTAATATCGGAAAACATTTGAGACATCTTTGTGGACACAAAGAAGGATTAATAACGAGATTACAAGCAAAGCCCGGTACGTAAATATTGTAAGAAATGTCTTTTGTACCTTTGCGGCGACGCAAATACTTGAATGTCTATTCTATAGAGACGTGGTGTAGTGGCGGGACCCATGGGAATATCTGGGCTGCGGTTTTTACTGATATGAGTAACGCTAGTTTTATTTTACCTAAATTTTTATTTTTTAAGTATTTGTTTCCTGTAGTGTCAAGTCTTGTTTATGGTAACCGCTTTATTGTTAAGCGTTTTAGCGTGGACAATTAATTGGGCTATCATTTGGTGGCATAATTTAAAAAAACGGTAAAAATGATTTTTCTAATAACAGACTGTAGGTTTATTACTATTCATATAGATTTTAGATAATGTGTCAGGTTCTGTCACGACCCACTTAAATACTGGTGTTCATGTAGAACCGTACGTACGTTGAGGCGCTTATGACTATCAGTCGTTGTGACCGGCGCAATTTTTAAGTCAACGACAACATAAGGCATTTTGTTGTTTGTTTTACAAATCATTGTAAATCTTAGCAATCTATATATAGTAAACTTCTTTATATGCAGTTCGTAGTAAGGAATGCATTCTAAGTAATTTAAAATTTGTGATACAAAACAAATTTTTAAAGATCTTCATTTATATAAAATCATCAGTCTCTTCTTGCTGTAGTCCTTTTTATAATAATAACAATGTTTATTTGGTCCTTTGTATATGTTAAATATCTTCTGATCGGGGAAGGTGATTCCTTGCGGCCCGCCGCGACTCAACAGTTAATGTTGGAAAGTTTCGTTGAGCGGTGTAGGATTAGTTGTTACTTAGCAGTTCGACTTGTGTACGTTAGATGGCGCTTAAATACATTTAGCTTCACATGGATAAGGTAATAGACGTTTTTCAATATAAATTCAAGTAAACCTGGGAAAAAGTCCCAGGATTGTTGTTTTACAATATTTCGCTTTGTTACCTTAGAAGGGAGATATCCTTCTCAGCTATCATCACACATTATACTTAACATTAGAAATCCAATAATATGTTACTCTTCCTCTACTATTACTAAATACACGAATTGTATTTTTTATTTTAATCGCAGGTTGCGGGTTTGATTCCTACTTAATAAGAATGTACGTAAATATTAGTGTACGTTAGTTAATATATGTTTGTGTTTATTATTTTTCTATCAGTACACTAATTCCCGTTTCTTTCTTTTCTTTTAAAAAAGATAACTTCTGGAATGGTTAGATCCTGTAACTTCACAAACATCCATCGCATGGGCACAAAGAATACCCCAGACTTATAAAAACTTTTTGTGGATTACACAAAGTGCTGTTACATGTGGGGATAGAACCCACGCCACTCAGCTCAGTAGAAAGCGGCGTGGTGACCGCTTTAACCACTACGCCATCCGTGCAGTCCCCAGTTAAGCACATTGGCGAACTTGTGGTTACACTATACCACAAAACCATTAAACAAAAAATGAAAGAATCAGTGTATAACCATCACCAAAAATCATCTGTTATTAATTAGTAACTTTCAGATTATTCTCCTATTTAGTGGAATTAGTATTTTAATAACGCAGCGTGATAATGGCTATTAATTTGTCGCACAGATTCGCGACTGGGTGTCGGTGGAGGTTGACATGCTGCGCACGCAGGCGGTCGCCGTCGGCGACGTGGACGACATAATGCAGCAGCTCGACAAACAGAAAGTGAGTTTATCTTTATAATATTCGAACCTCTAGGAAGGTATCCAACTGACACCACAAAAACTGCTTGCGACTTCATTCTTCTATCAGAAGTTTGTGGTCACAAGCAGATTTTGTGGTGTCAGATGGATCCCCCACCAGAAGTTTTCAAGAAGAAAGTGCATTAAATTACTGGCCTTTGTTAAGGAGCGGAACGATTTGTTGCTTTAACTGCAGTCTGTTTGTATCTGAAATAAGTTGATGTTCACGTAAATGCAACATTATCATGAATTATACATTTGTTGTCTATCTCTGTGATAAACGTTAAGATATTACATAATACACACAAAAACCATCATAAAATACGATTTAATCATCAAAGTATACAATAAAATAGAATACAACAAAAGCCGTTCAGAAATTTAAACATAACGTTCGTGGAACATTCTGTGAGCATTAGACAAAAGATTAAATTTATGACCACCCGACTATTTGTACAAATGAATTAAACTTTATTGAATTCGAATTAGAGTCTATATCCGTTTGTTGGCACTGGGACTCCCTGTGGCTTCTAGTTACTATGTACCTATGTCGAGATATTGAGTTAAAGTGTGATACACACAAGCGGTTGGGATACCTCATGTCTCTCTACGAACAATGGTTTTGAGGTTCGGCAACATGTACCTTGCCTTGCCTCATTTTGTTTTAAATTTTCTCTAACTTTTATATCAATACGCCAAACTTTAAAATGTCTATACTTCCATACGTTTATATTATAAATGTGAAAGAGAGTTGTTTGTTTGTTACGCTTTCACGCCTAAACCACCAAACCAATTTTAGTAGGCGAGTAACATAGGCTACATAACCGACATACACGCGCTCGGAGCGCTCGGGCAAAAGCTCGTTATAAAAAAATAAATTGTTTAAAGTAATTTTTAAATGATATGTTTATTATTGATAACTTTTATTTTATTTTTGCATTTTGAATATGTGTTTGCATTTTGAATGTATCGCTCACCTCCCCACTAATTACTGCGCTAAGTGTTGTGGGTTTAATCCTCACATGCGACAACACTTTGTGTGATCCATAAATTGTTCTTCTGAGTCGGGGTGTTCTTTGTGTTCGTTTCATGCGTTTGTAATAGAATATAGCCCTATAGTGCAGGAACTGTCTTTTAAAAATAAAAATGTTTTGTTGGTGTAGCGGTTAGTGAACCTGGTTGGTGGACCCGAGGGCGTAGATTTGATTTCTACGCACAAATCCTTGTGTTTGTGTCTTGTGTTTGTGTCCATTTGTTCTGTGCTAAGGCATAACGTATTCTTAATACGAAAGTAATTAGTAAAATATAGGTATGTTTGCTTTAGCAGTCTGATTATTATTGTACAGACTGTGTTTAATTTGGGCTCAAAAGGCCATGTATTAAGTATTAAGTTTTGATCATATTCTTTTTAGCGTAAGTCGTCTCAAACACGCTTTAGGTTTAATATTCGATATTAAACATATCTTACTAATATATAAAGCTATATCTACAGCTATTCTCGTATTGTTTAGGGTTCTAAGGTCCCCACGAGCGCGTATGATATTATTAGGCCTCAGGAGAACACCGCCGTACTGCGTTTATATTCTGCCGGTGTACACGCGGCCTTCCCCAGCGATTGTTATTCAATGCCGGCCGCATCGCGATTCTATAACGGCAAATACTTTGTTGGGATTATTTTCAATGATTTTATTTTATGTTTTTAATCGTTATTCATCGAAAAGTTGTGCGAAATAATTCGCTTTCGTAGAATGAATTAGGTACATGATATATTATATATGTATGTTATGTTTATAGTTTTAATAATATACTGTGAGTATCATTTATATCTTACGATGTCGGTTGACGGTCGTAGCGGTTTGTGTAACGGACTGCTACGACAAAGGCAGCGGGTTCGATTCCCACTCAAGTAAAACATTTGTGTGCATGAACATTTAATGTTTGATTTGTTCTGGGTGTTTTTATGTATAATATGTATGTATTTACAAAAAAAAAGTATGTATGTATTTCTATCAGTTGCCTAGTGTACTAGTATAGTACACATCATACAAGGTCTGCTTAGTTTGGGACTAGATGGCGTTGTGTAAATGTGGTACAATATTATTATATTAAAGTTGTTTATTTTTGTTTATCCATATCTTCAACAAATAAAGTATCTGCTACCATTCTATTTGTTACTTTTAAGATGAAAAAGTTTTGCCTTTCAAAAACTTTTCTTGTCATATTGTTAAGAAATAGAAGATAATCCAAATTTACATGTTTCAAGTCCCGCACTCACTTATACCGGGAGGGGCATAAACCCGTATCGATATTATCTTGAGACACTTTTTGAAGTGAATCCTTAAATAACACAACGCTACTAAACTTTCCTTTTACGTTATTAATATTAAATAATACGCGGCGTAAGTGAGGAGCCCTTTTTGGTTATTTTTACAGAACCCTTTCAAGTTATTCATGACTTCGTTGAACAAGTGCTTTAAATAAAGAAGTAATTTTTTTATATTTACAAGTTATTTTTAATTTATTTAATAATTTAAGAAATGAAAATAAAACCAGTTGTTGTCTCCTGTGTGATGTCGTCTTGTTATAGTAATAGAGACAGGTATTATACATGTTTGTATGAAAAAAAAGTGCTGAATAATACCGCTCTGACGGTATGAAGGCTTTTCATCGTCTCATCGAGACGCTTCAAGAGTTGCTCTCACTGCAAGGGTTACACTGCATTTATGTGGGGAATGTTACAGCGGTCGCTTTTTTGTTGCATTTCAAAATAAATTTGAAAAAAAGGGTTTGCATTCCGAGTTGATTGACAATATCTAAAGAAGATGTGGGTGAAAAAGTTTACTTATTATAGCGAAAAATGTTTGATGTTTCTAAATAAACAATAATAATATAAATAAATATTACTTGAATTTTGCTTCTGAGGATTACTGACCCAGAAGTGAAAACTCAGGATATTAGTGTGTTCATTCACTCTGTGCCTGTGTGTATTAAATAAAAAAAATACATTACACAAACTTATTATAACCTTAAAAATTTCGAACGTTATAAATGCATTAAAGAATTTAATTTATCTAAACTTAATTGAATAGGAACTCTTACGATAATTATAATTAATCTTAGGAAAAATTACGAAAGTCAGCACCATCTAGTGGCCAACAGCTGAATTAATACAAACCAAAGACCCCACATCGCGATAATAATATGAATAATCTTATATACGGCTGCAATAAATTAGGATCAATCTCAAATATCCTGGCATGAGGTAGGGATCGTATAGCTACCACTAATGATATAAAACTCCACTGCTGTTCCTTCTGATATTCTTATTTAAATATCGTTCCCCCGTACGTGTGATACAGCCGTCTCGGCTAATGTCTCCCCGGGGGCCGGCGGACACGTGGGGGCTCGTATGAGGGTACATCGTCATCCAGCCGGAGTATTCCGGTCACGTTTTGTAATCAATAGATATTTGTAGATTTTTCACATAAACCCGAGATCATATTACTTTAAGGTGACTAAGAGGATTGCAAAAGTGTTTGGTTACATCCTGATTTAGATGAAAAAATAATAATAATGCAGTGATCTCATAGACGAATGTGTGTATATCATCATTGCATTGGTTTGTGGAAAATTAATGTTAAAAGAGAACAAAAGATGAAATGCAAGCCCTATTATTGATGATGTTGCCGACATTGTATCGTTCATCACAGTCTCGCAACTCGCTCTTGACCTTGTCATGTCGGACGTCACAACTTATTTAGTGACAGGGCTGCCTCCGTCTACACCCGGACGATGAACAAATTGCCAATATTTAATTTTTTAGCTTGGCTGGAGCTTTGACACTTCTAATTTACAAACGAATCAATTACCTTTTGTTCTCTTTTTATTGTACATTACGTTATTAAATGAGTTCTGCTTTTGAAGTAGAGTTAGTGTTAGCTAAGGTTAAATATTATGTTCGTTTATGTGGTACTAGCGATCCGCCCGGGCTTCGCATGGGTGCAATGTAGATACTTTTAATACTAATAATAATGTCATAAATGTATGATAATAATACAAGATACTTAAATATAAAGTCCCATAAAAAAATAAAATACAATTGACCACCAATTAAAAAAAATGTAGTGCTGTTCTTGAATTTTGATTTTCTTTTATTATCTTTTCACTGGTTACAATATTAAAAAAAGAGATAGTTTTACAATATCCCTTGTGAAGATTGTTGTGTTTGTTACGTAAGTAAATAATTTAGGACTACAACGTACGCTGAACACCTATCAACAAGTGAAAAAGTGGCTACTTTTTTTTTGTTAACGTTGTGGAAAATCCCTCCTGCTTCTCGGGGTCGCAGGAGGCAGGACTATGTGGTGTTTCCACTAAAATTCACCCCGACGGCTACTCTCAGACGCCCTTCTCCGAGGAGGACCCGGACCGGACATTTTTGTCCTGTGTGTCAAGAAGTGCCGATCTAAAAGTGCAATTTATAGAAAAAAATGACGCATTTAAATATTTTAATGAATGTATTATTCTCAAATGTTTAATTTGGTTTAATATATACTACCTCATGTTCGTGGCTTGGCTCGTGGAAATGTTTTTATTTATCTCTTGGGAACTGTACTCAGCTCTGTGTGTAAAAGATGCCCAATGCACATTTTTGTACAATAATAATAGTAACCAAATCGTTGAACAATAGTTTAGTTACAATTATAGTGACACGTCTCGGAGGTAACACCGATTAGGTGAAACTGCCGGTTTCATCCTCCTTTGCTAGTTTATAAAGAACCGAAATATCATAATACGCATGCGCACCAAATTAGTGCTGGGACAGTGTCGATACACTAAAATATTAAATATTCACTCTTGATAGATGGTTATAGGGCGGACGATGAGTTTTAATGTTTTAGTTTTAAATATTACATATATTTATGGCTTGAAATCTCATACTCAGAATATAATTTGGTATGGCATTGCTATCATTAATTTAAA